CTGAAACGGCCCACGATCCGTTCGACACGTACGGCTCTCTTGCATTTTCCTTTTCCTCCACGGCCTTGCTCGGGATCGCGCATGTCAGGCTTCAATTGAATCTGGGTCCCTGGCGCAGTCTGAAAACCTGTAACCCACAAGTCATCGCCGCGAGGCTGAAAGAAAGTCCTCATCCCCAGCGAAACCCTCACCTGCCTCACGCCCTGCTTCATGCCGTCCACGCGCTTCGAATCTCTGTTCACATGGAAATATCCATCTCTCAAAATGACAATCCTTCTCTTGGAGCTTGTACCATGTCTTTTGTGGGTTAGAGTTTGCCGTGTTCACTGGTAAATGGTTGCATGTCGTGGCTGTAAATCACAGCCTTGTGCCTCTTACAAGTATGGCCGCCGTCTTCCTTTCTTGCCTGTTTATCTGTATTTACGAAATTTTCCCCGAGCCCGAATACTACGAACGACAGATAATTCAATGCCTCATCCGAGTCGCGAACGAGGGGCTAGAGTCTCACGATGAAACCTCCGACTACGAGTGTCAGCTCGAAGATAAGGAGGTGCATCGCCCGCAGCAAACTATTGGGTTTCTTGAATTTGCCGTGCCGATGCTCTGGGCACAAATGTTTGTATCGTGTAGCAGTCCCTGGCCCATCGCTCGCATGATAGGCGAAAGCCTGGAATGCTACGCCAACTTGGTCAATAGGGGGACTTGAAGCAGGGGAGAGAGATCAGGACGGCCCAGAAGTGTCCAAGCACCGAAATAAATTCATTTATCCTCCAATACCTTCGTTTGTCATGTTCTAGGCGGGGATGACACAGTCCCTTTTGTCGTTCTTTCATGAATCCACGAGTAGCTGGGACTACTATATCCACGTTGCACGCTATAGAACTTTCATAAATATACGCCTGCAGGAGTGACGAGAAAGCTTGCTTGCCGCGTTCTCATAAACGGCGGTCAAGGGAATCATTTATATCTAGTCATCCTACAGTTCAAATTCGTGGCTTAGATATCAAATTACCAGCAGTTTTTTGTATGGGTACTTGGGTGGACACACTCCATTGCGTCGGCTGTAGCTTTTTGTAGAAGGAGTCATTTGAAAGATGTCTCATCGTTCGCCATTCACTCCATCATCGGCCCCTTTACTTCTTATGAATCCCAGAGTAATTTTCATAGACAGAGCCAAAATCCCTATACCATGTATCCACCAGCTCCTGACTCATCCCCGGAGCAATAACAGTCTCACCGCGCTCCAGGCCCTTAGAAACAAACTCCATGAACTCCTCCACCGTCAACACGCTCTGATTATTATGCTTCTTATTATCATCCGGATCCGAGCGATCCCGGTGCAAGTCCGTCCCCACAGAGGGGGGAATGATCTCCACCACACGAACCTTCTCCAGGCCGGCATTCGCCAGCTGCGTGCGGAGGTTCATGGACCAGAAATGCATAAAGGCCTTGGTGCCGTTATACACGGGGTTAATGACGGAGAAGGGGACGAAGGCCAGAATGGACGAGACGTTGATAATGGTCGCTCCGTGCGGATGGGTCCGGAAATGGTCCAACAGGCCAAGCGTGAGATGCATCGGCCCACGCTCGTTGATGTCGATCTCCTGGTCTGCTTTGGCGAGGAAGTCGGTGGTTGGGTCGTTCACGATGTCGAGGGGTCGTTGTACGCCCGCGTTGTTGATTAGACAGTCTACTTCGGGGTACTGGGTGGTCAGTTTGTGGATGAAGGTCGGGATCTGTGAGATTATTCCCGTGTCGAGGACGAAGTAGTCGGTGGCGCCGATTTCATGCGCCGTCTTTAGTAGTGTCTCTTTGGTTCGTCCGGCGATGATCACTTTCTTGCCCTGCTGAAGTAGATAGGAGGAGATGGCTCGACCAATGCCACCACCGCCTCCGGTCAGGAGGGCACAGTTGAATGATAGTGTAGATGGCATATTTTTCTTTTACTTTTTCTCCCTCTCTTTTAGTTTTCGCGTGAATTTCGGGTTTGAATAGCAATTGTAACTAGGTGGTGGGTAAGGCTGGACATTTGAAGTGGATGGGCTGCATTTACATATATATATGACGCAATGAGCCTCTCCAACGGGATGTTGCTTAGTTATTCTCGAAATATCAGGTAGAGATTTGCGTTCTTGTATGGGCGTAGTATGTACCGATTAACCTTAATTCTATACATTGATGAGCGAATCATTTGCTTCATCTGTACTTTCTTCTATTTTCTTTATAATCAAGGGCCATGACTCTTGCGGAACTCACCCAAGGACTCTCCAATTTTTTTTTTTTTGGATTGAGAATTGGGGATTCGGGGATGACGACAACATCGTCGGCGAACTAGAAAAATGCCGATCAAGAACAAATTATGGAATCCCCAGCTCTGGTGGTCCCCAAATCTCCAAATCCCCAAACGGTCCGGAATCCCCACATACTAACGACCCGATCTAACTACGGTTCAGCGCCGTCATAGTTAAATAGTATGTTGAAAGTCGCTCAGAAAACGCCACCTCCCCCTCTCTGCGAGTCCCGCTTGTCGCCAGTCATTGAGAGTGCGGTGCGGGAAGAACCAGCCGGTATCTCGATCCTCCTCGCCAGTGAAAATCGGCAAGAGAGTGTGATCATAAGCTATGAGGATCCAAATCTGGTCGTCGGCGTCAAACTTGGCCAGCCTGTCAATTGTACGCAAGCACTCGTCGAAGTCGTGCGTGTACTTTTCGGCCGGCAGAAAGAACGGCTTGTCGTTGTGGCCGGGGTGGCGTCCGATCGAGTGGAAGAGATGCCCGGGGCAGACACTCCCAAACTGGGAGTGAAAGGGCAGCGGCGAATGCTGAATGGTTTCTGGAAGCGGGCAGTCCTTTGACGGCCGGAATTCGCCGGGATGATGGGCGAAATCCTATCATACAGATCTCGCCATCAGTGAATGCGTCAATGGTGGTAGCCTTTTAATAGGCGGGTCGCGAGTGTGTCCGTCTGTCCCAAGAAAAAGAAAAAGAAGAGAACAAGGAAGAATGGAAGCTGTTGCACTCACCGCACCCATGAGAACAAATGAATCCGGCTGCACTCGAGCCAGCCCGACCAAATGGTCCGGCGTATGACCGGGCGTATGGAGCATATAGAAGCTTCCATCACCAAACCAGTCTGCGGGAAAGTCCCCAGTATGGAGCTTCTTTAGGTCCCCATCCTCATCGAAGTTATTTTCTCGCAGCTTGCGCCCCTCGCAGTCTGCGGACTTTACCGGAGAATCGGCTTGCTCCGGCCATCTCGGGGCGAAGCTACTGATGAGATCCGGTCCCACGACCAAATCCGTAGAGCTAAAGAACAAAGATGAATTACCGATGTGGTGGACATAAAATTGCGATCAAATGATGGCATTGATCTCAGTCAGAGGAACTCCGTTCTCTATCAGAACGTTAGAGACGCTGCGCGGCGAAGAGATCTTCCAGCCGCTACTTGCAGTGTTAGTGCAAGGCTCGGCAAACCTCGGCGTCGGATTGTGGAAATCCGTTTGGGTGGAAAGATTGAACAGGATGCGCTGGCCCGACGAGTGTGTGATAAGAAAAGAGTACGAGGGCACTGTCAAACGGTTGTAGCCTCGGATTCCCGGCTGCATGAACTGCTGGGCTGGGAACTCCAGACGGGCACCTCTGCATATCCTTGAATGAGCTCATGGCATAGTAGGCAGTCGGGGAGAAGACGGGCAGGGAGGAACATACGAATCGACTAGGAAAACCTCCACGGTGTTGTTGGACTGGGGAAGCTCCAGCAATGTCATTCTGCTGGTCGTAGTAGAAGACCAGTGGCAGATGGGAAACAAACGGTAGTAAACGCTATGCGCACGGGACCCGAGACCTGGCTTTATAGAGAGTGGAGCCACCAATTTGAGTGGTACTAGTCATGACTGTCTCCATCAATATTCACTACCTTGCCACTCAGACCAGGGATTGTCATGATAATTGACGTGTTCGGCCACTCCCACCGAAGCTAGGTTTGGAGATCGGCTGTTGTCGCCGAGATTTCGGAGAACCCAATCGATCCTTCAGAGCTACTAATAGCGGTTGCTTAGCAAGATAAAAAATAATCATGAAAAAAAAAAGAGGAGAAAAATATCTAATCCCCCTTTGATCCATAGAGTCCGACTTGCTCACAATCCTAAATCTGTCAAGACCTTAAATTTTGAATAAAATGTCGTCCATCAGCCAGGCTTGTTGCTCGTGAGCCCCCTACCTCAATTGTGATATCGACAGGGTGCAAAGCTAAATATTCAACTGCAGCATTCCTCCGGTAGTGTCCAAGGGCTACGAACCCAAGGGCGAGTACACCACCCTCAATGGCCTGAAGACCTGTATGTATCAGCCTCCTTTACTGCCGTTAACATGTACCTCCTCCCATTGATCCTTGACCGCAGACGTTACTGGCCCCGAATCCGCAACCGAGGCGATCCTTCTCATCTATGGTACGTAGCCCCGACAATCCGTCGATAGTCAAATAGACGGTGGACAGGAATTCAACCGAACATAATATTGACCGAGTGACGGACCTATCGATCGTTGATCTTTTATCGTGAACCAGACATTTTCGGCTTTTTCCCTCAAACCATTCAAGGCGCCGATATTCTCGCCACCAGCCCTCGCCGCAAGTATCGCGTCTTCATGCCGGACTTCTTCGAGGGAAAATCCGCCGACATCTCGTGGTATCCTCCGACGACCGAGGAGCAAACCCAAAACCTGACGACCTTCTTCTCCACGCAAGCGGTGCCGCCCAAGACCCTCGCCCGGATCCCCGGTATCGTCAACGAGGCCAACAAGACGGCCACCAGCGGCACTGGATACGCGAAGTGGGCGATTGTCGGCCACTGCTGGGGCGGCAAGATTGCCAGTCTCAGTGCAGGCAAGGACAATGCCATCTTCCAGGCCGCGGTGCAGTGCCACCCCGCGATGGTGGACCCAGCCGATGCCGCTGAGGTGACCGTTCCCATGGCCCTGCTGGCGTCTGGGGACGAGCCCGCCGAAGATGTAGCCGCCTACCAGGCTAACCTAAAGGTCCCCAATCACGTCGAGACCTTTGCCTCCCAGATCCACGGGTGGATGGCGGCGCGGTCTAATCTGGAGGACGGAGAGGTGCGCAAGGAGTATGAGAGAGGTTATAAGGACAGTGCTGAGCTTTTTGGAGGAGCACCTGTAAAGGCAGGGGTCTAGGTGATGGTACAAACGCACGAGCCACCAATCTCTGAGGACAAGACCAATAATAAGGTGTACCTAGAGTATCGGCCTACAAAGATCCATTCATGCAAGATTAAAGAACAGATGGACCTCTGGGAATAAGAACCAGTATATCTTTATGGCACATGTTCCGTTTCAACGCTACCTAGCATCATTACAATATATATAAGGAAGTAGGGCGAAAGGAAATACCTGAATCTTATTACATTCAAGCGTTTGACGCTGTTGATTGGGCCTAACACATAGCAGTCTGGGGAATGAGCCCTGGATTGAATACAAATAAGATCCAATACGCGTTGTGATTTGCGAAATATGTTATACTATCTTATTTAATAAAATTAAAAATTATTATTGCTTAGTTTACTGCCTTCTACCACCACCTGTCCTAAATGGCTAGACTTGCCACAGTCCAGATGATGGCATCGTTAATGAGTCATCGTCCTTCAAACCAATTGTTTTATTTTTAATTTAAGAATATTTTTTTTACGTTTTTTTACAAGCTTTTAAATGTTGCATCCGCCTCCCATGAAGCTCGCCACGCTCAGCGGAACGGTGCGTTGCGCAAATGATTCATGTCGTCTCCCCTACTGCATTTAAAATCTGTATAATTTCTCTTAGCAGTCACCCACTTCACAGTAACCAATTTGACAATCCTTTTAGTTTTATCAATCATTTTATTTATTATTAATTCAATCTATCAATTTCATTAATTATTTGTCGCGGCTACAATTTGATAATATATTTTGTCAAAATCTAGATTTTATCGATTTAATTTCTCTATTCTAAAATTTTTAAGCGATTTTTTATCATTTTTATGCGTTTCTTATGTTGTTCTATTTATTTGTTTTACATCTATTCAACATAAAAACCTAGATAAACCCTTCGCCGCCCCCGCGCGAGAGCGCCTCACAGATTACAATTGCCCATACAGATCCTGTTGCGCATTTTCTGACATAAACATGATTTTGTCTAATATTTGTGTATATTTTTTCATCTTTCATATTTTCTCAATCTTATCTCGGCTTTCTTCAATTAATTTTATATAATATTTTTATATTATTCAATCAATCTTGTTTAGCATTTCTATATTATTCAATCAATTTTATTTGATATTATTATATAATTTAATATATTTTGTTTAATTTTTAAATTATGATTTTTGTCCGATATAATTTTTGTATTATTTAATTTTGTTTAAAAAAATAAAATTATTTTATTTAAATTTTTTTTTGTGTTTGTCATTACATTTGTTTAATTTATTATTATTTTTTTATCAATAATTAATATTTGATTATCATAATTATTATCATTATTATAATCATTTTTTTATTTATAATATCATTTTAATTATTTTTTGTGCAATAACATTCAAAAATTGTAAAATATAAATATTTTTAATTTAATATATTTTTATATTAAAACAATCACATTTATAAAATAATAAAAAATAACAAATTTCATTAATTAAATGAAAAATATATAATTGATTATTTTTTAATTAATTAACTATTATTTTTTTTAATTTTTTCGTATAAATTACATTAATATTATTTTATATTTTATATAAAATGCAATTCACATCATATTGAAAAATTTATATTTAATAATATAAATAAATAAAAATAATTACAATTTTTCTAGAAATAAAGATAATCAATTTGTCAATCTTTTAAAAACAAAATAGTTAATTTATTTATTAATTTTTTATTTTTAATATTGAAAAAGTATAAAATCCAATTCAATTTTATTTTATAAACAAATCATTTTTTTGAAACAATTCAACAAATATATTTTTTTTAATTTTATTTATAAATAACAATTATCAAAATCAGATTTAACAAATATTTTTTTTTCAATATAATTTTTTTTTATTATTGAATCTGTCTATCAGTAATATTTTTTTTTTTCAATTTCATTTATAAATAACAAATTACAAAAATATAAGGACCTTGGGTCTCTAAGGGGTTTGCGATAGGTGTGAAAGGTAATAATGACTAAGAAACAGGTGTCGCGAGGTATCATTTCAAGAATAAGGTCAATATGGTAGATTAACGCTGAAGAAGCCAACGTGGTTCTTCCGCGAGGATGGGTTCTATGTGTGCGATGACTCAGCCCGCAGCTGAGTCATCCGCGAATGGTCTTGTAGCTAGATATATATCGCGAGGGTCTTACAAAAAATTAGATTTAATAAATATTTTTTCCAATGCAATTCTTTTTAATATCAAATCTATATATTAATAATATTTTTTTATCAATCAATTAGATTATAATTTTATCACAATTTTTTTTACAAAAATATAATTAATATTTTTTTATTATCATTCAAAAGATTTAAATCAATTTAATTTTTGCAATTTTCATTTAAAAATTAAAAAATTTTTATTATTTCAAACATTTAAATTTAAATATATCTTTCAATTCAAACGGATTCTTATGTTTTTTAAATATAGATAATAAAATAATTTAAATTATTATTATTTTTGTTTTATTTTATAAAACATTTAAAAATCATATTATCTCAATTCAATTGTTAACTAATATATAAATTAATTGAGATTGACAACGATCGAATATAATACAAAATTTAATTATTGTAATTATTTATATATAATTTTTTTTTAATTTTAATAATTTATTAATAATTTATTAATAATTATTATTATTGTTATTATTAATGTTATCATTATTATTATTGTTTTTTTTCAATTATAATAATCTAAAAATCATTATTTTTGTTTTAATCCTTTATTATTTTCAAATCAAATTCAACTATTTGAAATATTGGGTTTAGATTGATGGTTATTTATGATAAAATTTTAATAATTTTTAAATTCTTTATATAATTATCAAATGTTTTTTTATAAATCAAAATTCATATTTTTTAAACAAAAAACTATTCAAGACAATATAAATAATTCATAATTTATAAATTTTTATTTATGTTATTCAATTATTCAAAAAACATAATACAATAACATTTATTATAAAAATTGATATTTACAATTTTTGTGTGAAAATTTATCATTAACATAGACATATTATTATTTGAAAAATTAAATATATTAATTATTTATTGTTACGAACCCCTAGTCCCTAGGCTCAAATCCATCGGACCTCCAATGGATTTACTCGCCCGCTGATTGGTCCCCGGTGTGTGCTCCCGTGGTCCTCGGTGCGTGGCTCTACGGGGAGAGAAAAGGATCCCCGTCTCTTTCTTTAAGCCCCTTTTTCTCTTCCTTTTCTATAACGGTAATATGATATAGAGAACCATGACTGACTATATCGGGATTATTGTATCGTGTCGCGCGTCATGGCGCGATCGCGTCGTAGCGCAATTGCATAGTAACTCCTTTTTTTTTTTTTTTCCCTTTTCTCTCTTCCTTTTCCTTCTTTCTTCTTTTCTCTCGTTTTAAAAGGAGTAACCAGGTTGACCTAATTCTATAAATCGCTTCTTCATTAATTATGGATCTTTTTCTTTATAATCCAACCTATCAAGTCTGGATCTGTACTGCACTTCGCTGCCAGTTTGCAGTAACACCTACGAATCTAGCTTACCACCTCCAAAGTCGACATTCCCACTATCCTGGTATAACAACACCAGCCCAACGCCAGACAATCTTAACTATTATGCTTCAGCAGGCCTGGATCGATCCGGATAAGGAGATTCTTCGATATCCATCGCCCAACAGCCCTCCGATTCTTGGTCTACCAGTATTTCGTGGCTATGGCTGCCCGCACTGTAATTATGTATGCTGTTCAACCAAGGGAATGCGCGAGCATCGACGCAAAAACCATCAAGATCAAGATGGCTCCTCGAAACGTGGTAGACAATCGATTAGCCAAATCCAGGCCCGACTACAGAAGCGCTTAGCCGACCGAATAGTCCACTGTCAGCGTTTTTTTCTCACTAGATCGGCCAGTCGATTCTTCGAGGTAACCCACGCAGATATCCCAATAGAACAGAGAGCAGCGGAAACGGCCTCTCTCAAGACCCCTGCCGCCATCATCCGGGCCCGAGTCGAGCAGGCCCTGCAGGAGGGCCAGGCCGCAGCGGAGCACGCGGATGGCCAAATCCCCGCTGTTGACCCGCACCCGACCGCAGTATCGCCCTGGCTGGAGCTCACACGTTGGCCCGAATACCTGCGCGGGCAGAGCTTGACGGCCGTGACCCTACTAGGCAGCCCGCCCGACTCTACGGCCGAGCCCCTACTCGAGCAGTTCACCGGCAGTGTTCAGCGGCTGATCGACCACGCCTTCCACGCGATTAAGGAGGGCCGGATCAACGAATTCGACCAGATCCAGATTAACATCTTCTTCCGCCGGCCGGGGATCTGGAATCGGCCGATCCAGATCCATCTCCGGCCGGCCACCTACCGTCGGTACTGCCAGATCTGGCAGCGTCTGGTCTGCTTCGCCTACCGCAGTAGCCGGAGCGACCAGCCGATCTCGCTGCGCCACCAGCTGACCACCGCCCAGTTCGCCGCGCTCGATCAGATGGAGATCCATGGCCAGCGGCTGATGGACCTACCAATCCAGGCACAGGACCTAGACCCGCCGCAGCGCGCGAGTCAGCGGAAGCAGGCAGAGGAGCTACTTGATCGGGCCTGTCTCACGTTCTCTATCGCCTTACTCGATCACACCCTTAAGGGGGACCTCTTTGAGAGTACTCTTGTCGGGTTCCTCGCGATCCTCGGGATTGACGTCAAGCAGCAGACCTTCCTTAAGCCCTCTAGCTACACTAGCTACCTGTCGGGACTTGTCAAGATGGCTCAGATGCTGGTGGCCCTGCAAGCGGTCTGATTGGCCGAGACCGGCCAGGTAACGCATCCGGCCGATGCTCTAGACGAGATGCGTGAGCGGTTTCTGATATTCGGGGTGCGTGCCCCGTTCGGCTGGATCACGCGGCTGCGGGCATACGGGAAGAAAATCCAGAACAGCACCACCAGCATGGGCTATATCTACTGGAGCGATGACGA